CTGTATTTCAGAGTCCTGCTGCGTCGGAGGATGGGAAAGCCGCACAGACCGAGGCAGGAGGCAGCCTCTGGGCTTGAATCTGGCCGCTGCCTGGAGTACACCCTTAACAGGCTTGTTTCTCCACAAGGCCTCTCTTTTTCTATATGTAAAATGTACATGACTGAGCCAGATGTGAATTTTAACTATGGTTGGAAAAGGTTGCTCTTTTCCCATGTTTTTCATCTTGTCTTTTTTCTGATAACAAAGGCAATATATGCCTCTTTTTTTAAGGAAGGCATAAACATTACAGAAATACTGGGACAAAAGAGAAAGGCCCATAATTTTATGCTGCAGAATAGTGGTTCTCAGACTCTTGAATATAAACAGACCCCCAAGGGAACTTGCTAAAATTCCAAATTCCTAGGCCCCTCCCTCTTAGGTTCTAATACAGAAATCCAGAAACATGGCACAGTAGTTTGACTGTAACACTCATGCCCAGGGAAGGCTAGTAATGACATCTGAGATACGATGGTCTAGAACTGACCTCTGTTAACAGTTCAGGGTATATGCCTATTGGTTCTCCGCGTATATACTATCTTGGAGGGGAAAAAAGATAGAGGAATCAGACTATGTATGATGCTGCCCTTTGATTTTTCACCAAATATGCAGTAGACATCTTTGTTTAGGTTTATCAGTAGATATGGTATTGATGGTATCTCATCATAAGATGTAGCATAATTTCTTACTGATGACATATGGCTTGGGAGATGGTGGCTGTTGACGTCACACATAGTTTACACGCTCACGTGTGCACACACACAGCAAGACGGTGCTGTCCTAAGTTCAGGGATATGCACGTCTTTGATGTCTGCAAGTCAGCAGTAGGGCACAGGGATACTAAGAAGTGTAAGGCGAGGCCCTGCCCTCCGCTGGCAGGCTGGTGAGTGAGCCTGAGGGGTCTGGACCCAGGCTGCACTAGAAGAGCTTCAGTGGAAGAAGTGCAGTGGGTCCCAACTGCCTGGGGAACAGGGCACCCAAGCTGGGGGTTTCCTGCCTGCCTGTCCTTGGCTCTCGATTGCTCTGGTGCTGCCATCAGAACCCTCTGATGAAGGGAACAGAGTGGGGATGGACGGCCGGAGTCGGCTCCTCTGGGGTGAGATGGGCTGGGGGTGTCTCTGCCCCTGGCGGTGAGCAGACACTCCCAGCAGTCCTCCTGCCCCAGCATCCGCGTTACTCTTCACTTGTCAGAGGACACTGGGATTGCTTCGGACAAGACACTGTGGGCCCTGGAAATGCCCCCGGGACTGGGTGTCTGCACAGCGGACCAGTGACAGTCAAGAGCGGTGGGGCAAGAACCTGGTTATAGTCCTCCCCCGTCAGATTCCACCAAGCCAAGCCACAGCAGGATGGGGAGCTGGGAGGGCACCACTCAAGAGGACGTTAGGAAACAATTTAGGAAGAAGAAATAAAAGGAATGCATCTTGTTTCCAGAAAATTGTTTAACACGGGCAAATTTGGGACCCTGTAAAGTTGAAGTGGCTCCGGAACGGCGGGTTTGGCGAAAGCTCCCAGGACACGCAGGCCTGCCTGCCCCCACTTCCTTCCATCTCGCTCACGCCCAGCCTCCACCCCAGTGGCCTCCTTGCATCCTACCCTGGGGCCTCTGCACTAGCTGTCCTCACTTTGGGATGCCTTCCTCCCCACCACTCCAGCCTCCCGAAGCTGTCACCTCCCCACTCTCCACCCTTCCTGAGGTCCCGAGCCTTTCCCTCCATCTTGCCTAGTCTTGCGTTTGTCAGAATGTTCACCGCAGCTCAACATTTTCTGGTTTGTCTCGTTTTTTTTTTGCCTAAACCCCACCTTGAAAGCAAGTTACCCAAGCACAAGGATATGGTCTCATTTACACTGTAGCTCCAGCACTGGGCAGTGGAAGGAACACAGTAGGTGCTCAATAAGGGTTGGTTACATGAGAGAGACAGGCCAGAGAGGATCAAAGTGCATTTTTTTTTAAGTTTATTTATAATATTGTGTTAGCTTTGTTGTACAGCAGAAACTACCACAATATTGTAAAGCAACGATACTCCAATTAAAAAACAATATCACACTAGTTTCAGGCGTCCAGTAGTGACTCAGTTATATATATATATATATATGACTGCATATACATACACATACATATAAATCTATTTTGCAGATCGTTTTCCATTATTATTACAAGATATTGAATATAGTTCCTGTATTATATAGTGAAACCTTGCTGTTTATTCATTTTATATATAGTAGTGTGTATCTGTTAATCCCGCACTCCGAATTTGTCCCTCCCCACCACCTCCTTTGGTAACCGTAATTTTCTCCTCTGTGTCTGTGAGTCGGTAAGTCCATTTGTGTTATTTTTTTAGATTCCACATTTAAGTGATACAATATAATACTTGCCTTTCACTGACTGACTTCCGTTAGTATGATAATCTCTAGGACCATCCATGTTGCTGCAGATGACAGTATTTTTTTAAATTATTGGAGTATAGTTGATTTACAATGTTGTGTTAATTTCAGGTGTACAGCGAAGTGAATCAGTTGCACATAAACATATATCCACCTTGTTTTTCCAGATTCTTTTCCCATATAGACCATTTCAAAGTACTGACTAGAGTCCCCTGTGCTTTACAGAGGCTTCGTTAGTTATCTATTTTATATATACTAGTGTGTATATTTCCATCCTAGTCTTTCCATTTATCCCTCCCTCATCCTCTCTTGTTTTATACATTTGTGACTTGACTTCTGTTTTGTAAATAAGTTCGTTTGCACCCAGTTTTTTTTTGTTCCACCCCCATATAAGTGATATCATATGCTTGCCTTTCTGTGTCTGACTAGCCTCACTCAGTATGACAATCTCTAGGGCCATCCGTGTTGCAAATGGCATTACTTTCGTTTTTATGGCTGAGCACTGCTCCATTGTATGTACGTGCCACAGCTTCTTTATCCATTCCTCTGTCAATGGACCTGTATTTTCTTTTCGTTGCCATGGTAAACAGTCTCACCATCTCAATTTCTCTTTCCGATCTTTCATTGCTAGCCTCTGACGATGTATGTTTAGGGTCTCTTCCACGTCGTGGGTATTGTAAATAGTGCTGCAGCAAACGCGGGGGTGCACGTGTCTTTTTTAAAAATGATCAGAATTTAGTCTATGGAAGTTACGGAGGACAGAAGTTGGAAATCATTTGTGTCCTAGAAATAAATGAGTTTTCATAAATATCCATGTGATTCTCATCAGATAAAAAGGTACAGTGTATTTATAATTGAATTCACTGCATTGTTGATGTTATTCCTGACTGAAGAGAACTTCCGGTTTGTCTAGACATTAGTGAAAACCAAAATATTAAAATTTTTGCTTAAGTGTAACACCCCTACAGTTAAGGGCACAAATCTTACATGGTCAGCCTGATGTATTTTTAAAAATGGAATTCACCTGCACAGTCACCTGTCTGATTAACACTATGCAATCAGTATCCACTATTCTACCACTGCGTGTTCTGTGTTGAAATGTATATAAATAGAATCACTGAGTATGTATTCTTTTGTGGCATCTGACTCTCAACACCCTTTTTTCCATGAGGCATCCATTACTGGGGCAGTCTGAGCGCAGGTTGGAAAAGAATTTCCAGACACAGAGTACTGCAGAAGGGAAAGAATTTATTAAGAACAAAGAGCAGAGATAATGTGGACATAGCAAGCGCAGTGGGCTGACCTCCTGACAGACCAGGCAGCGTTGACGGTTTTCCTGAGCTAATAACCAATTTTGTGAGTTTATAGGCTCAAGACAAAGAAAATTCTTGCTGGAAGGCTGGCATTAGGTGATTGGTTAAGGGGCTAATAGTGTGTTTACTGGAGTGGGCCTCTTTGCCAATTTGAAGTCAGAAAGCTTGTGAGGGATGATGAGGGGCTTTTGGCAATGGTTTCAAAGGGGCTCAGACAGCTTCGGAGGTGACCTTGGTTCTGGGCTCCCCTTCTGCGGCCTTGGGACAGGGACCAGCACCTTGGCCTGGGGCAGGACTCCACATCCTGTGTTTGTAACAGCGGTTTGCTCTCTCTCTATTGCTTTGTGGGGTTCCATTTGTGAAGGCACCACTCTTTACGCGTCTTCTGTGTGGGTTAAGGTTTTCTTTCCCTTTCGGAGGTCTTCTGCCAGCATTCAGCTGTGTTCTCTGCCAATCACTCCACTTGTATCTCTGACATATTTGTGGAGATGGTGAGCTCCACAGCCTACCTTCCGCCATCTGGGTTCTGCTTTTATTTACTTGGCATTGGGAGACTAAGAAGATCCTGCCACAATGTCAGAGAACATTTTGCCGATGTTCTTTTCTGTGAGTTTTTTTGGGTAATTTATGGTGTGTCATGTTCTGTGTTTCAGTCTTTAAGCCATTTTGAGTCTCTCTTTGTGGACGGTTCTCCTCCAAACTCCCCTCCCGTCCAGGCAGCCACATAACACTGAGCAGGTCCTAGCTGATTATCCATTTTAAACACAGCACTGTGCACACGTCCGTCCCAAGCTCCCTAACTACCCCTTCCCTCTATCCTCCTCGCCCTTCTCTCCAGCAACCAAAGGTTCGTTCTCTTAAGTCTGTGAGTCTGCTTCTGTTTGTAAGTTCATTCATATCGTTTCTTTTTGGACTCTACACCTCGGGGATGTCATACGATATTTCTCCTTCTCTGGCTGACTCACTTCACTCAGTGTGAAGTCCATCGTGTTGATGCAAATGGCAAGAAATCCAATGGATTTCTGTATGTCAACCTTGTGTCCTGCTACTGTGATGGACTCAGTTTATCAGTTCTGATACTTTGTGTGTGGAATCTGTAGGGTTGTCTATATCATGTCATGTACATATGATGATTTTACTTCTTCCCTTCTGATTTGGATGCCTTGTATTTATTTTTCTTGTCTGATTGTCATGGCTAGGATTTCCAATACCATGTTGAATAGAAGTGGTGAGAGTGGGCATCTTTGTCTTGTTCCAGATTTTAGTGGGAGGGCTTTCAGCTTTTCACTGTTGAGTGTTATGCTGGCTGTGGGTTTGTCATCAATGGCTTTTATCATTGAGATATGTTATATACCCTCTGTACCCACTTGGGTGAGAATTTTCATCATGAACAGGTGTTGAGTTTCTTCAAATGCTTTTTCTGCATCTACTGAAGTGATCATATGGTTTCTGTCCTTTATTGATATGGGGTACGACACTGACCAGTTTGCATATGTTGACCCATCCTCGTGAACCTGGAATGGATCCAACTTGATCATGGTGTATGATCCTTTTATGAGTTGTTGGATTCAGTTTGCTAATATTTTACTGCAGCAAAATTGCATTTTTAATGCTGGCATTCATGCTGGATGTATGTGCTGGGTCTAATCACTTCCCAGCCCACCCAGACTCTTCATGAGAAAGTAGAGGTGGGAACAGGGCCAAGTTTAAGTGGAGGTCAGCTTCTCACTAGGGGATTAAGGAATGACACAGGCTAGAAAACACGTCCACGTTTCAAGTGAGCCCTGATTGTGAAACTAGGAGAATGCCGCTGTTATCTGTAAACACCCACACTGGCCTTCGGTATCTACACAGTGCTCTTTATTTTCACACTCACACACTGACTCCTTGAGGTGAGATCTACGGAGCTCTGACTCCGCGAGGCTCGGTGCGGCACGCGGGGCCCTGCACTCTGTTCACACCGAGTCCAACTCTCCCTGCAGGAAAAGTCCTCCTGGCCAAGCGCTGACCGCCTGCTTCCCCTCGTGTCCGCTCATGTGTCTCTTCTCAACCACCGTTGTTTTCCACATTTGACACCCACAGAAACCAAGGCTCGGGGCTGCCGACTGGCTCCCGAAGGGGCTCATGCCGGGGCTGAGCCGGGACGAACACAAGGGCTGGTCTGGCCCAGAGCCGGTCAGCGTCCACTCACCCTCCTCCCCTGGGCACCATCCTGTGGCTGCTCGCTGAGGTTCAGGGTACTGAGGAAATCCCGAGGATGGAGCTGTTGGCCTGTAAGTGGGTGACTGGAACTGACCCAGCCTAGTTTCCCCTCCTTTGGCACCAAGAGCTGCTTTCCCCTGGGGAGTGGCGCCCGGCAGCAGGAAGCCTGCCCCCCCCCCAACACACCAGGTCGGGGAGGTGCCAGAAGGCATTCTTGCTGCCCCTCCCTTCGGAAACAAGGGAGATGCCTGTGCCTGAACCACGCCACTCAGAGCAAAGCTTGGCGTGTCCTCGCTCCTCAAGCATCTGACCAAATCGATCCTTACTCATGCCCCCCTCCCCGGCAGTGTGGCTCGGACACGGTGTTCCGCATGGAGGAAGTGGCCGAGCACCAAGTGTAATACCCGTTACTATAGTAACAGTTCCTTTCTAATGATCCCAGAATAAACAGGAACGCAGAGCCGCCCCACGCTGGCTCTCTTCATCCCCAGGGCTTGATGAACCGCCCTGTGGCGGCGGCCCCTCCTGGCTCACCCGGGACTCTGGTGGAACGAGGACCAGCAGCGCTGCGCTCGGAAGTTCTCTTCCCAGGGACACAGGCTCAGCTGAGGAGTAAGACTGTCTCTTCAGAGCTCTTTGGAGCCCAGGTACCGCACTCTGCGGAATGGCTCGGGGTGCCTCCGGGCACCTGGGCTTGGGAAAGGGACCGCAGAGGCCGTGCAGGGGGCATCCGGATGCAGCCTCCCGCGCGCCCCGCTCTGGCTATCTCTCTTCCCAGTGCTCGGATGCATCTGAGTTCATGCGTGGTGTGACCTCACCCTCCAAGTCCACTTCCACACAGCGCAGCAGCTGTAGTTCTCTTGGGAACCGACGGGTCAGGGGCCAGCTGAGACGGCCCCGGGCAGACAGCTCAGCTCAGGCTCGGGAGGCTTCACTTGCTGGGCGTGTGATCTGGGAAAGACCCCTCAGCCTCGGTGTCTTCATTGGCACAGAGGGGTCTCAAGAGCACCACCTCCTCAGTCTGCTGCAAGGATCTCATGAGGTACAGCCGCGATGCTGAGCATAGCTCATGGCAAAGGGCAAGGGCAGGGCCGGGCGCTGCCCGCCTGGATTTGGCTTTAGCGCTCTGCAGCGTGACACAGGGCTGGTCCTGGGCCGAAAGTCAGGGGGCTCTGGGGTCGGGCGTGCCACTCTTCTGAACTGCTACTAAACCCAGTGGCTTCCCAGCTGTGGGGCAGCCCCCGTACCTGCGTCTCGGGCCAGCTTGGACCCTGAGAGGCTCTTCCCTCCACTGGTGGGAAGTCCTGCCGGGGTCCCCCCTCCCCGAGGCACTGGTCAAGTGGGGTGGCTGGCATCATGCCACTGGTGGGCCGACTTTGTGCCTTGATCAACGGCACAGGACTCTCCACCCCCCCTCACTAAGGACCTCCCACGTCCAGCCCTGGACTCTCCTGTGGGACTGATTTGAAACCCTGTGTACCCACCTCACAAACGAGGCGGTCACGGGACACCCAAGGCAGGATGTTGAGGAAGTCTGTCGAGTCAGTTTGGTTGGGGGAGGCTGCGTCCTAGTGATCGAGCCGCTCTGGCGGGGGCTTCCAGGCATCGGTGGCGGGGGGCTGGAAGTGTGGAGGAGGCCCCCAGATATGCAACGCTGTGGCTGCAGGCCAGGGAAATACAAATGGTACTCTGCCCACGGGGAGGAAAGAGGCACGAAGGTTCGGAAATGCAATGGCCACGCTTGTCACTTTTACTGAATGCCTCTTTCTCCTGGGTCAGTAGTTATTTTCAAAGGTTCCCTTCTCCTCTGTGCCTCCATCCCATGAAATGTTGAACCAAGGAGATCACTGGCTGTGTCGTAAATGCGGCAGCTTGAAGAGTAATGAGGAACAAGGGCAGGAGGAGGGAGGGCAGAGGGAAGACTCGGACAACATCCCCAGAAGGCACGGCCACCAGCTGGACTCTCCTAACAGCCCAGCGGTGGGCAGACAGACAGGCCGGTGGATTCTGGCTCAAACCCAGAGCAGTGCGGGCCCTGCCCGGGCTCCCCAATAGGAGAGCAGAGAGTTCCCCAGCACCAGCTTCTCACTGTGAAAGGGCTCCACTGCCTCTTGACCGGGGTTTCTCGAGTGTCCAGAGAGGAAGGGGATGTGAACCTGCTTGGTTGACTGAGGCGATGCCTTGCACCTGGAAGACACTGCAGTGGTAGAAAGAGCCCTGACTTAGGGGCCCAGAGCTTCTGACTTTGCCATTTATTTTGCGTATCTTTGGACAAGAAGCTTGACCTGAGATTCAGTTTTCACATTTAGAAAATGGGAATAATAAAACAGTACCACTGGCCTCCCAGGGGCGACTGTGAGATCCAGATGCAGGCGAAGGAGCCTTCATCAGATGTCAGGTGCTCAACACGGGTCCCCTTGGCCATAGTGGTAAAGAACCTGCCTGTCCACGCAGGTTAGACACGAGAGACGTGGGTTTGATCCCTGGCTCAGAAGATGCCCTGGAGGCGGGCATGGCAACCCGCTCCAGTATTCTTGCCTGGAGAATCCCACGGACAGGGGAGCCTGGCGGGCTACAGTTGCAAAGAGTCTGTCATTGGCTGCCTCTGCCCCACCCCCACCACTTCAGTCTGTCCAGTCTTCACAGCGTCTTGATTGTAGAGAGGAGGAGGATGAAGGAAGTTAAGTACCCATCCAAGGTCACAAAGCTGCCAAGCACATTGACTGTAATCAGACCCGCCCCCAAGAGCCAGTCCAACCAGTCAGCTGAAACCACTCAGGCCAAAGCAAAAAAAGCTTGTTCGGTTTTTTTTAACTCTGTGTGTTACAAAGTTGTCTGACTATTAGAATCACTTAGGAAGCTTTTTTATTTTTTATGTCGTATTGAACTATACTTATGTTGGTTTAGTTTCAGGAGTGCAACAAAGTGATTTTAGTGTGTGTGTGTGTGTGCATTTTTTAAAATTCTTTTCCCAGTTAGGTTATTACAGAATATTGAACAAAGTTCACTGTGCTATATGGTAGGTCCTTATTAGTGATCTATTAATGAATGTAGCAGGGTGTATACGCTTATTTCAATTTATCCCTACTCCCCACCTTTACCGGCTGGCAACCATAGTTTTCTAAGCCTGAATCTGTTTCTGTCAAGAAGTTCATTTGTATCATGTTTTTAAAGATTCTGCATGTAAGCAATATCATATGGTATCTGTCTTTCTCTATCTGACTGACTTCACTTAGTATGATAATCTCCAGGTCCATCCATGTTGCTGGAAATGGCATTGTTTCATTTTTATGGTTGAGTAATATTCCCTTGTATTTATGTATTACATCTTCTTTATCCACTCCTCTGTTAAATGGACATTTAGGCTCCTTCCATGTCTTGGCTACTGTAAATAGTGCTGCTATGAACATTTGGGTGCATATATCTTTCTGAATTACAGTTTCCTTCCATTTCCCAGGAGTGGGATTGCTCTTTTTCATGTTTAAAACTTTTTAGTTTTTTGCAGAACTTGCATTCTGTTTTCCATAGTGGCTGCACCAATTTACATTCCCACCAACAGTGTAGGAGGATTCCTTCTTCTCCATACCCTCTCCAGCATTTATCATTTAAGACTTTTCACGACGGCCATTCTGACCAGTGAGGGTGAGGTGGGTGTCTCATTATAGTTTTGATTTGTATTTCTCTAATAATCAGTGACGTTAAGTAGCTCTTCATATGCCTCTTAGCCATCTGGATGTCTTTGGAGAAATGTCTATTTAGGTCTTCTGCCCACTTTTTGATTGGCTTGTTTGCTTTTTTGATATTGAGCTACATGTGCTATTTGTATATTTTGGAGATCAGTTCCTTTTCGGTTCCTTTGTAAATATCTTTTCCCATTCTGTGGGCTGTCTTTCTGTCTTCTTTATGGTTTGCTTTACTATGCAAAAGGTTTTAAGTTTAATTAGGTCCCATTTGTTTTCATTATCATTGCTATAAAGACGGATCGAAAAAGATACTGCTGTGCCTTATGTCTAACAGTGTCCTGCCTATGTTTTCCTCTAAGAGTTTTATAGTGTGTTGTCTTGCCTTTAGGTCTTTAATCAATTTCATTTTTGTCTATGGTGTTAAAGAATGTTCTGATTTCATTCTTTTCCACACAGCTGTCCAGTTTTCCCAGCACTATTTATTGAAGAGACTTTACTTCTTTGTGTATCCTTGCCTCCTTTGTCATGTTACTTCACCGTATCTGTGTGGATTTATTTCTGGCCTTTCTAGCCTGTTCAGTGGATGTGTATTTGCTTTGGTACCAGTACTGTTCTACACTGATTGTAGCCTTGTAGTGTAGTCTGATCAGGGAGTCTGATTTCCTCCTGCTCCATTTTTCTTTCTCAGGATTTCTTAGGGTATTTGGGGTATTTTGTGTTTCGATATAAATTTTAGAACTTTTTGTTCTAGTTCTGTGAAAAATGCTATTAGTAATATAATAGGAATTGCATTCAATCTGCAGATTGCTTTGGGTGGGAACGTTTCTCTTTCTGATCTTTCGTTGTTAATGTACAGATGCAATGGGTTTCTGTGTATTAATTTTGTATCCTGCAACTTTACCACATTCATTGATGACCACTGGTAGTTTTCTGGTATCCTATAGTGTCCTGTCATCTGCAAACAGTGACAGTTTTACTACTTTTCCGATTTGGATTCCTTGTAGTTCTTTTTCTTCTCTGATTGCCATGGCTAGAACTTCCAAAAACATGTTCAGTAAAAGTGACAAAAGTGGACAACCTTGTCTCATTCCTTATCTTAGAGGAACTGCTATCAGCTTTTCACTGTTGAGTATGATGTTAGCAGTAGGTTTGTTTTGTATGTTATTTACTATGTTGCAGTAGATTCCTTCTACATTCACTTTCTCTAGAGAGTTTTTATCATAGATGAGTGTTGAATTTTGCCAAAAGTATTCTTCAGTGTCTTACTGTGATGTATCACACTGTTTTGTGGATATTAAAAAATCCTTGCAACCCTAGGGTAAATCCCACTTGATGGTGCTATATGATCCTTTTTAATGTATTGTTGGAATCGGTTTGCTAGTATTTTGTTGAGGATTTTTGTGTCTGTGTTCACCAGTGATATTGACCTATGATTTTCTCTTGTGATAGCTCTGTCTGCTTTTGCTATTAATATCAGGGTGATGGTGGCCTCACAGAATGGCTGGGCGTGTTCGTTGCGCTGCGGTGTTTTGGGGAATTTCAGAAGCATAGGCATTAACTCTTCTCTAAATGTTTGACAGATGCCTGTGAAGCCATCTAGCCCCGCATTTTTGTGTGTTCGGAGTTGTTTAATCAGTTTCAGTTTTAGTGCTTGTGACTAGTCTGTTCGTATTTTCTACTTCCTCTGGGTCACCCTTGGAAGGTTGGACTTTTCTAAGAAGTTGTCCATTTCTTCTAGGTTCCCCATTCTGTTGGCATATAGTTGCCTGTAGTAGTCTCCTGTGATCTTTTTCTTATTTCTGTTGAGCCTATTGTAGCTTATTTTTCATTTCTAATGTTATTGACTTCAGCCTTCTCCTTTTTGTTTCTAGATGATTCTGGCTGATGACTTATAAATTTTGTTCATCTTCTCAAATAACCAGTTTTTTT